GCCCAAAGCAACCTACAGATATAATACAATCCTGATCCAGATTTCATCATCATTATTCAAAGAGATGGAAAAACTAGCCACCAACTTTATATGGAAAGGAAAGAGACACAGGATAAAAAAGAGAACACTACTGAAGAAGAACAAAATAGGAGGCCTCACACTTCCTAACACACAGCTATGGTAGTCAAAACAGCCTGGTACTGGGATGACAGACACATAGACCAATGGAACAGAATCTAGAACCCAGAAGTAAATCCATCCACCTGCAGACAGCTGATTTTCAACAAAGGGCCAAGCCATTAAACAAGAAAAGGCAGTCTTTTAAGCAAATGGTGCTGGCAAAACTGGATAATCATTTGCAGAAAAATGTAACAAGATCCATACTTCATACCTTACACAAAAACCAACTCAAGATGGATCAAAAACCTAAATGTAAAACCTAGAACTATAAAGATTATTTAAGAAAAAGCAGGGACAAACTTAAGGGCCTTAATTTATGGCATAAATAGTCTATCAGACATAACCAAAAATGAACAAACAAAGAAGATAAACTAGACACTGTGACCTCATAAAAATTAAACATTTATGCATATCAAAAGATTTCTCCAAAAGAGTAAAAAATTTTTGGTAATGACATATCTGACAAAGGATTAATTTCTAAAATTTATGGAAAACTTCAACAACTCAACAACAAATAGACAAACAAGTCAATTAAAAAAATAGGCAGAAGACATGGACAGACACTTCACCAAAGTAGATATTCAGGCAGCCAACAAAGACATAAAGAAATGCTTGTGATCGTTAGCCAGTGTTGTTGCTGGGTTATGTCAAGTTCGTTTAGACTTATAGTGACCTATGTACAGCAGAATGAAAGACCACCTAGTTTTGCATCATTCTCACAATTGTTGCCGTACTTGAGCCCACCGTTGCAGCCACTGTGGCTATCCATCTTGTTGATGGTCTTCCTCTTTTTTGTTGACCCTCTACTTTGCCAAGCATGATATCCTTCTACAGGGATGGGTCCCTTCTGACTATATGACCAAAGTACAAGAGATAAAATCTGGCCATTCTTGTTTCTTAGGAGCATTCTGTCTGTACTTCATCCAAGACAGATTTGTTTAACTCTTCTAGTAGTCCACAATACATTCAATACTCTTTGCCAACACCACAATTCAAATGCAGCAGTTCTTCTGCATTAGCCATTCCCACTGCCATCCAGTTGATCTTGAGTCATAGCTACCTCCTTAGGGTTTCTGAGGCTGCAAATCTTTATGAAAGTAGATTGTCTCATCTTCCTCCTGCAGAGCAGCTGGTGGGTTTGAACCACTGGCCTTATGATTAGCAGCCAAATGCCTTACCCACTGTGCCACCAGAGCTCCTTGCATTAGTCATTGTTGTTGTTAGGTGTCGTTGAGTTGGCTCCGACTCATAGTGACACCGTGTACAACAGAACAGTCCTGTACCATCCTCACAATCCTTGCCATACCTGAGGTGATCACTGCAGCCACTCTGTCAATCCATCTTGTTGAGGACCTTCCCCTTCTTCACTGACCCTCCAATTTACCAGGCATGATATCCTTCTCCAGGTAATGGTCCCTTCTGACAACATGACCAAAGTAGGTGAGATGAAGTCTGGCCATTCTCACTGCCAAGGAGCATTCTGGTTGCACTTCTTCCAGGACAGATTTGTTTGTTCTTCTGGCAGTCCACAGTACTTTCAGTATTCTTCACCAACATCACAACTCAAAAGCATCAACTCTTCTTTGATATTGCTTGTTCATTGTCCAGCTGTCACATGCATATGAGGTGATTGAAAATACCATGGCTTGGGTTAGGCGCACCTTGGTCTTCACGGAGACATCTTTACTCTTCAGCACTTGAAAGAGGTCTCTTACAGCAATTTTCCCAGTGCAGTACAGGGTCTGATGTCTTGACTGCTGTTTCCATTGGTGTTGATTGTGGAACCAAGTAACATGAAATCTTTAACAACATCAAACTTTTCTCCATTTATTGTGATGCTGCTTATTGGTCCAGCTGTGAGGAATTTTATTTTCTTTATGTTGATATCTAATTCATACTGTAGACTGAAGTCTTTAATCTTCATCACTAAGTGCTTCAAGTCATTCTCACTTTCAGCAAGCAAGGTTGTGTTATCTGCATATTGCAGGTGGTTAATGAGTCTTCCTCCAATCGTGATACCATGTTCTTCTTCATATAGTCCAGCTTCTCAGATTATTTGTTCAGCATACAGATCGAATAAGTATGGTGAAAGGATACAACCTTGATACACTTCCTTCCTGATTTCAAAGTATGAAATATCCCTTTGTTCTATTTGAATGACAGGCTCCTGATCTATGTACAGGTTGCTGATGAGCACAGTCAAGTGTTTTGGAATTCCCATTCTTCCCAATGCTATCCATAATTTGTTAGGATCCACACAATCAAATGCTTTACATAGTCAATAAAACACAAGTAAATACCTTTCAGGTATTTGCTTTCAGTCAAAGTTCATCAGACATCAGCAACGATATCCCTCGTTCCATGTCCTCTTCTGAATCCAACTTGCATTTCTGGAAGTTCTCTGTCAATATACTGCTGTGACCAGTTTTGAATCATCTTCAGCAAGATTTTACTTGCATGTAATGTTAATGATATTGTTTGATGATTTCCACATTCTGGGGATCACCTTTGTTTGGAATAGGTACAAATACAGATTTTTCCAGTCAGTTGGTCAGGTAGCTGTCTTCCAAATTTCTTGGTATAGACAAATGAGTGCCTCCAGTGCAGCATCTGTTTGTTGAAACACCTCAGTGGGTCCTCCGTGAATACCTGCAGCCTTGTTCTTAGCCAGTTCCTTCAGTGAAGCTTTGACTTCTTTCTTCAATACCATTGGTTCTTGATCATATACCACCTCCTGAAATAGATGAACATCAACCAGTTCTTTTTGGTATGGTGACTCTATGTATTCCTTCCATCTTCTTTTGATATTTGCTGCATCATTCACTATTTTGCCCATAGAATCTTTCAATATTGCAACTCAAGTCTTGAATTTTTTCATCAGTTCTTTCAGCTTGAGAAATGCCAAGCATGTTCTTTCCTTTTGGTATGCTTACTCCAGGTCTTTGCACATTTCATTATAATAATTGACTTTGTCTTCTTGAGCTGCTCTTTGAAATCTTCCATTCAGCTCTTTTCTCTTGTCATTTCTTCCATTTGTTTTAGCTACTCTCTGTTCAAGGGTAAGTTTCAGAGTCTCTTCTGACATCCATTTGGGTCTTTTCTTCCTTTGCTGTCTTTTCAATGACCTTTTGCTTTCTTCATGGATGATGATCTTGATGTCATCCCACAATTCCTCTGTTTCAGTCATTGGTATTCAACACATCAAATCTATTCTTTAGATGTTCTCTAAATTCAGGAGGGATATAATCAAGGTCATATTTTGGCTCTTATGGACTTGTTTTAGTTATCTTCAGCTTCAACTTGAACTTGTATATGAGCAGTTTATGGTCTGTTCCACAGTCAGCTCCTGGACTTGTTTTGGCTGAAGATATTGAGCTTCTCCAACATCTCTTACCACAGATGTAGTCAGTCTGATTCCTGTGTACTTCATCTGGAAAAGTCCACTTGTATAGGTGCTGTGTTGTTGAAAAAAGGTATTTGCAATGAATAAATCTTTAGTCTTGCAAAATTCTATCATGTGGTTTCCAGCATTATTTCCATCACTATGGCCAAATTTTCCCACTACTGGTGATTCTTTTTCATTTCTAACTTTTGCATCCCAATCACCAGTGATAATCAACACATCTTGATTGCATGTTTGGTCAGTTTCAGACTGCAGAAGCTGATAACAAGCTTCAATTTCCTCATCTTTGGCTTTGGTGGTTGGTGTGTAAATTTGAATAATAATAGTATTAACTGGCCTTTCTTGTGGGCATATGGATATTATCCTCTCACTGACAGCATTGTACGTCAGGACAGATCTTGAAACATCCTTTGCAATGATGAATGCCATGCCATTCCTCTTCAATTTGTCATTCTTAGCATAGTAGATTATATGGTTGTCTGATACAAAATGGCCCAAATCAATCCATTTCAGCTCACTAATGCCTATAATATTGATCTTTATGTGTTCCATTTCATTTTTGACAACTTCCAATTTTCCTAGAGTCATACTTTGTACATTCCGTGTTCCAATCATTAATGGATATTTGCAGCTATTTATTCCCATTTCGAGTCATGACATATCAGCAAATGGAGATTCCAAAAGCTTTACTCCATCCACATCATTAAGGTCAGCTCTACTCCGAGGAGGCAGCTCTTTCTCAGTCATATTTTAAGTGCCTTCCAACCTGAGGGGTTCATCTTCTGGCAGTATATCTGACAATGTTTCAGGGCCGTTTATCAAGTTTTCCAGTAATATATCAGATAGTATTTTACTGATATGATAGAGACTGGTAGAACCCCTGAGACTGTGGCCCTTAAACACCTTTTAAACCTGGAACTGAACCCATCTCAGTGATCCACTTATAGCCAAACAACAGATAGGCCTATGCACTGAACAATAACACTTGTGAGGAATATATTCCTCAGAATAGTTAACCATACATTTGCCCAAAAGGTCAGCATCTGCCCAAAAACGAAGCTCAGAAGGCAGGAAGGGGCAGGAAAGGATAAATGGAACCAGGAGCCCAGGGAGGAAGCAAGAAGAGTGCTGTTTCATTGAGGGAATTGCAACTAATGTTATGAAACAAAATATGTATAAATCATTGAATAGAAAACTAATTTGTTCTTTAAACTTTCACTCAAACCCCCTGCTACCCTCCCCAAAGTGTAGGTGATACGAAGAATTAGACAGAGAACTTGACTTTAAGTTGCTTTGAGTTGAGTAAGTTATAGAAACGTTAACTTAAAGGGGCACCTTAGAAATATTTTGTAGTATTTGGTAGGATACATGTTTTTTATGGCTTTTTACTAAATTTAGAGTAATTATTTTTACATACTGTTAAGTTTCAGCTGGGGCATTACACCTTTAATATTTGTCAATGTGCCAGAATTTAAGAAGATATTCCATTCTTCATCCTGTAGGGATCCAATGTCATCCCACATTAGACTTTCACTGGCATTATTTTTCATGATCTCAGTGCAAAGCCGAAAGGAGAAGCAAAGTTTATGCTGATTAAATAGAGTTGAAGAAACCGCCTATCAGGAGAAGATTTCAGTTAGATTAACTCACTTAGGTTAAATAAGTATTAAAAATTCACATTAAAGAATAATATCTTACCTTAAATATATTTCTTGTCAACACTTTCATTGCATTTTTAATATGCTCATTCAAGGAATGTTTCTCACTTTCCAAGTTAGGTTCTTCTGAGAAATTTGTCATTTTATGATCTTTTCCCTCCTTTTTCAAACTAGGACCTGAGTTAAAGTGTTCTTTGCTTTTGGAAACTACTGATGAAACAAAAAGCTGACGAAACCAGTCTAGGGAAAATTGGTACATATAGTTGAGGTGTTTAAGATCTGCTACTAGAAAGTAAAGCAGGGCGCCTTGAGTAGCGATGGGAAGGTAGTTTTTACGTATTGCTTGAATATTGTGCTCTGCTTTTTCTGTTTCTTTGATGCGCTTTGAAATTTCATTTGAAGTCATTTTGGATTTTTTAAAGATGTCTATGATAGCCTCATCATCTAATATGCATCCTAAAGGCAAAGAAGATGTGATTTTAAATAAAAACCATTGTAACATTAAGTGGCTGTTTCTTTACTGTACTCTTTATTTGTTTTTACTGTTGGTTTTTTATATTGCAATATAAAGAGGAGCTTTCATATGGAAATAGGTCATATTTCTATTAAATTTGATTAATGGCACACATGCCTCTCTTCCTACTCCCTCCTATTCTTTAAGTATATTATTTTACTGCTGGTGGACTCTTTCTTGTGGTGTAGTGCCTAAGGCATTTGACTGCTAATCAGAAGGCTGGTGGTTCAAACCCACCAACCACTCCTCAGAAAGACGGTTGGGCAATCTAATTCCGTAGTGATACCGCTTCAGAAACCCAAGGAGGGGTTGCTATGAGTAGGATCCGACTTGACGACAGTGTGTTCGGATTTTTTGTTTTTTGTTTTGGATTCTATGTACATTATAGGCACATAGTAAGTAACTGTCTCATCCAAACCAAAACCAAACTCACTGCCATCAAGTCGTTTCCGACTCATAGCAACCCTTACTGGGTTTCTAAGGCTGTAAATCTTTAGGGAAGTATATCCTCCTGTCTTCCTTCCACAGAGAAGCTGGTGGGTTTGAACTGCTGAGCTTCCAGTTAGCAGTCAAGTGCCTTTTCCACTATGTCACCAAAGCTCCTTAACTGTCTCATAGTAAGGAATACATTTTGCATTGTGATCCACTATACACATAGACTATGGAGATAAAAGTTTCAGAATAACACCATTATCACATGTGATATACATGTAATATTTCATGTGATATTTTGTATTTTATTTTATTAAACAAAAAAACCTGATCATAACCAATGAAACTGATTTCTCAATTCATGTTTTGAATAGAACACTGCTGTAGAAACATAGATAATAATTTTTTTCCCTTCAAATACTTAAGAAGCTCTGGTGGCATAATGGTTAAAGCATTGGGCTGCTAATCAAAAGGCCAGCAGTTCAAACCCATTAGCCACTCTGTGGGAAAAAAATGAGGCAGTCTGCTTCTGTAAGATTTACAGCCTTGGAAACTCCATGGGGGCAGTTCTACTCTGCCCTAAAGTGTTGCTATGAATTGGAATTAACTCAATGGATGTGGGTTTGGTTTGGTTCTAATACTTAAAGCCACTCTCATATGTTCATCATAAGTCTTCTATATTGGGCAATCTACTTCCATAGTGATACCACCTTGGAAACCCAAGGAGGGGTCGCTAAGAGTTGGGTCTGACTTGACAGCACAAAGCAACAACATTTCATGGGATAAATATTCTTATTTTTCTCAACTGTTTTTTATGACTTAATTTCTAGAACCACTGCCATCCTTGATGCACACCTCTGGACACACTTTAATTTGTAAAGAGCCCCTTTAAAACATGGTATCCAGAACTAAACACAATATTTCAGCTTGATATGACTAAATGGATTATTCAGTTTCACATTTGGATACTATATTCTTATTGATATAGATGAAGTTTTCTAAGTAATGTCCAGACCTTAGCTGTGGGCCACCTCTCCCTGTCCCCACACTACTGCACCATTTCCCATAGGTGATGGGGGAGAGTAATGGTAAAGATAAAATACTTACAAAGAAACAGTAAGAACACCTTATATTACTAATGTTTGGAAAGGAAGAAGAAATATTATGTGCAGAGTCAAGGAATATTTTCATTATTCCTTCCCATGACCCCTGGAAAAACATTTTATTAAATTATCTACTATGAGGAACAAGTGCTAGGGAATAAACACTAAAGGCAAAATAGCATATAGTGCTCCAATGTGTGTTAGCTTAAACAATTTTTGGTTTGTCTTATTAAATCTATTTTTTGTCTAATTTAGGCAAAAATTATAGCAAAATAGGACATATGCCATATGAAACCAAAAAAATCAAACTCTGTCACCAAGTTAATTCTGACTCATAGTGACTCCCATTGGGTTTCCAAGGCTATAAATCTTTACAGAAGCAGATTACCTCATCTTTTTTTCTCAGAAGTGGTTGGTGGGTTTGAAGCACTGACCTTTTTGTTAGCAGCCAAATGCCTTAACCACTACCCATGAGAGCTCCTTTATGCCATATGAATGGTTCATAAAATGGGAATGGCTGTATTTCTGAATCATGTTAGATCAGTTGGGTCACTTTCTAATGTATATTACATGATACCAAGATGTCCCACTTTTGTTCCCTAAGATTAGGTTGCCAGCTGATGGTTCCAATCTTAAAATAGAAACAGATGTGGACACCTTGTCCTATCATTAACAGAAACATGATTTATACATATGTAATAAAGAAACAGGTTATTATGTGTAATTAAAAGAGAAATAGGATGAAGTCAGATCCTTCTACACACATACATAAATATGTACTTAAAATTTCATAAAAAACAAACACACTTTTAAGTGAGGATTTGCCCATATTCTAAGATAAGATACAATGAATTTTTACCCTAGACCTCTTTTTCTTGTTTTGTAAACATGGCTGAAAAAATTCATTCTTTTTAAAAAAATTCTCCTCTTAAGACACAACTCTTTCTAAATTGGTCCAGACAATGGCATACTGAGGCAATAATATACAGGAAAGCACCTGAAAGGGGAGGCATGTTCTCCTCCATACCATTATCCACTTTTAATTTTTTTTTTTGAGTTTTTAATAGTGAAAATACAGCCTTCTAAGGTCTTAAGATAATCTATTCACAAACATGACACAGCTTTATGATATAAAAACATTAGTTTTTTTTTTTTTTTTTTTTTGTCAAAGGTTATTTTCCAAGTCATCTGCTGTTCTCAGCTTCAGTATTTTATTTTAAGGATCAGCATTTTTTCCCTCAACATGTTTTATGGGGCTCTTTAGCTTTCTTAATACAGTTTACAACCCGAATGTATAACACTATTAAAGAAGTTGTTTCATATTCCTAAAGGTGCTTCCACCACTTGTCTGTCAGCTTGTCTTACTGTGGTGGATTGTGCGTTGCTATGAGAGGTTCAAGGCTATGCCATCAGTATTTCGAATACCAGCAGGGTCATCCATATGGACAGCTTTCAGCAGAACTTCCAGATGAAGACAGGCTGGGAAGAAAGATGGGGTCATCCATTTCTGAAAGTATTGGGCACTGAAAACATTATGAATAACAGTGAAACACTGTCTGATATGTTACTGGAAAACATTATGAAGAATAGTGAAACACTGTCTGATATAGTGCCTGAAGATGAGCCCCTCAAGTGGAGAGGCTCATATATAAAACTGGGAAAGAGCTGCCTCCTGAAAGTAGAGTTGATCTTAATGACTTGGATGGAGTAAAGCTTTCAGGATCTTCATTGCTGATGGGGCACAATTCAAAATGGGAAGAAACAGCTGCAAGCATTAGTTAACAATCGGAATGTGGAATGTAAGAAGTATGAATCTACGAAAATTGGAAGTTGTCAAAAATGAAATGTAATGCATAAAAATCTATAGCCCAGGCATTAGTGGGCTAAGATGGACTGCTATTGGCCATTATGAATCAGACAATCATATGGTCTACAATACCAGGATTGTCAAATTGAAGAGGAATGGAGTTGTATTCATTGTCAAAAAGAACATTTCAAGATCTATCCTGAAGCACAATGCTATCAGTGATAGTATAATATGCTGACAAAGAAGACTAGTTAATATGACTATTATTCAAATTTATGCACCAACTATCAAAGCAAAAGATGAAGAGATTGAAGATTTTTATCAGCTTTTGCAGTCTGAAGTTGACGAAACATGCAATCAACATGGATTGATTATTGCTGGTGACTGGAATGTGAAAGTTGAAAATAAAGAAAATCAGTAGTTGGAAAATGTGGCCTTGGTGATAGAAATGATGTTGGAGATTGCATGATAGAATTTTGCAAGACCAATGATTTACTCATCGAAAATACCTTTTTTCAACAACAGAAATAGTGACTATATACATGGACCTCACTGAAAAGAATACACAGAAATCAAATCAACTACATCTGTGGAAAGAAGTGATGGAGAAGTTAAATATCATCAGTCCAAAGCAGTCCAGGATCTGAGTGTGGAACAGATCATCAATTGCTCATATGCAAGTTCAAGTTGAAGCTGAAGAGAGTGAAAACAAATCCTTGAGAGCCAAAATATGACCTTGAGTATATCCCACCTGAAATTAGAGACCATCTGAAGAAGAGATTAGACATATCGAACACCAGTGACTGAAGACTAGACGGGTTAGGGGATGACATCAAGAACATTGTACATGAAGAAAGCAAAGGTCATTAAAAAGAAAAGAACAAAATGGATATCAGGAGAGACTCTGAAACTTGCTCTTGAATGGAGAGTAGCTAAAGCAAAAGGAAGAAATGTTGAAATAAAAGAGCTGAATAGAAGATTTCAAAGGGCAGCTCAAGAAGACAAAATAAAGTATTAAAATGAATTATGCAAAGACCAGGAGTTAGAAAACCAAAAGAGAAAAATAGGCTCTGGATTTCTCAAACTAAAAGAACTGAAGAAAAAATTCAAGCCTCAAATTGTAATTTTGAAGGATTCTATGGGCAAAATATTGAACAATGCAGGAAACATCAAAAGAAGATGGAATGAGAGTTCTGGTAAGATGCTGGAATAGGCAGACAAACTATACAGACACTCTACAACAAAGAAAAGTGGAACCAATTAACACAGATACAGAAGATAATCCTGGAGCCCTGCACCCTGCACTTTGAAAGGAAGAATACAGAAGTGGACTAAACTCCAACTAGTAGAAGAACCTGCATGAAAACACCAAAAAAGGAGACATAGAGAGCTGTGGTCTGTCAGCAATCCTGATGGCATGGACAGCTTGGATATTGCCAAGTGCTGTTAGGACTTAAGAATTAACCTAAAAATCAGCCCTGCTAGCCAGGCGCTGCACAGAGGACTGCACTGGTGGCTGATGAATAAGAGGGGAAGTAGCAAAAAGGGATGGGCGGAGCTGTGGAATTTCGGCTGACTAGAGGGTGCAGCCATTTTGAAT